TTGAGCAGACAAGGGGAAATGGGTCCTATTCCACAGTTCTTACAGAGGAAACTGCATTGTAAGCAAATATCAATAGATCTGGGAATGCAAAAATAAGTGTCTCATTGTTAAGTGGACAAACATTTGGTGTGCATACCGGCATGTCAGAAAGACATGATGGCAGGCAGGCATGATTGTTCAAAGTTATGTAGATTAATTCAAGGTTCTTTTAAAAACACGCACATCTGGCCCTCCTTTCTAATGATAGATACATGGAAAAGAAGGCGCTCAGATATGAAATGTAATCCTGTCTCTTTTTTAAGAGCTCAATAACCTGAAAGGGTGATGTATCCCAAACAAAAAGAAAATAAGGAGAGGCAAAGAACCAGCCATGGGCTAAAACCATCCCACTGATTACTCTGTAAACAATTAAATACATACTCAGAAGTGTTGAGTTTAGAATTAGAGCACCCACCATATGCAGTTAACATAAATAGCAGTGTGAAGTATAGGTTAGTCAGTGAGTATGGAAATCACCAAAGTGATAGCATCACCACAGTAGATTGAGACTCCGGGAGCCAAAAAGGGAGAACTGACTCAGTACTCATGAAATGTAAAGGGTACAATTATGTTCTCTAGTTTTACCTTCAAGAAGATGTAAGTAAAGTCACTTTTCCAGGCACATTCAAATACAAGGTCCATGTTGCCTTTCAATCTTTTGGAGATGTGTAGCCTTTGCCAGTTGTTTTCAAACCCAGCAAACCATCAGACTTATCTCAGGAGCTTCGTAAAATGCAAATCCCTGGGTCCCAATCTCTGGGATTCTTATTCAATACAATTTGGGTGAAGCAATAGTACTTACTATGGGATATTCAGCAAATAAAATGTGAAAAATCAGAGAGAAAACTTATCATCAATAAAGCCATGGTCCGTGATCCATCTTTTTACCCACGTATATCTTTTTATCTAAGAATGTAAAATTTCTCAAGTCAATAATATTTTCAGGGGAGTCAGTTTACAAAAATTTAAATGACAAAGAAGCACATGCTTATGGCTAAAAATCAACACGCTACATAACAATGCAAGTAAGAACACAAAATAATGCTTTTGCTAGTCCCTCAATAGCTGTCCCTCACAGAGTTAATTACTGTTTAATATAGATGTCTTTATAGTCTTTACAGTTTTACCATGTCGGGGGGTGGGGTTTATGGCAAGACTGTGTCCCAGCCATTTCTACCCACTTCAGTGAGGGTTTCTTCTTCTTGGCTGACTGTGTGGTCATCACTCAGCCAGTCCTTACATTTTTTAAAGAGGAATTATCCCATATGCATCTGTAGACTCAGTGTGTCCATGGGGGGAGGTGAGCTCATGATCTTCCTACATACATCACCATGTTGAGTCTCCCAACCTTTATGTATTCACTCTTAATTTATGTCTGTATGTATTTTACATAACCCAAATTGGACTATACATACTGTCCTGTGAGTTGACTTTTTTCACTTCATGCTATTCTGATTTATATCTAGATCTATCTAAAACTATTTTCTTATTATTTCTAATGGCTATAACTCATTACTCTACTTTTGGAACAAGGATCTTTGGGTCTTTGGAGGATAGGAAGTGACATTAAAGCTTGCTTGTATTTGGTACATACTTTGTGTGTCCAATTCTCTATCAAAGTCACTTAATTTTTTTTTAAAGAACCTGCTCCTTTTAGAGGTTTTAAATCTAAACGCAAGAAATAAGTCTATAACCAGAGAAAATTGAGGAAGGTATTACATTTTGCCGGGCACCAGTGCACAGTGTAGCATTCTATAAGTATCTGTGCTTATTATGATTACTAGATATAAATAATATCTATTGAGCATTGTCTTAGTCAGCTAAGGCTGCTATAACAAAATATCATAGACTGGGAGGCTTAATCAACAGAAATTTTTTTTCTCCCACTGTTCTGGAGGCTAGGAGGTCTAAGATCAAGATGTAGACAGATTCAACCTCTGGTGAGGATCTACTTTCTAGCTCCTTAAAACAACAAAACACAACCACCTACATTAATTGTAATAAATTAGTTTTAATCAGGTATAATGAAAATGCAGATGAGAATGAAGGTTGGGGGAATACATTTCTAAATAAAGGTAGCAGAAATGAATTAACTAATTATTATTCCAGCAAATATTTTGGAAGACCAGTTGCTATGCGCTGAAACACGTGCTCCAAATTCGTATGTTAGAGTCCAAACCCTCTCAGAATATAATAATATTTGGAGATGAGATCTTTTAAATGATTAAGTTAAAATAAAGACTTTAGGGTGGGCCCTAATCCAATGGAATCCTTATAAGAAGAGGAAATCTAGACACAAAGAGACACCAAGACACACTAGCATCAGCAGGACAACCATGTGAAGACACAAGGAGAGGCCTCTGTCCTGCAAGCCACAGAGTGAGGCCTCAGAAGAAACTAACCCTGCTAACACCTTGATCTCAGACGTCCAGCCTCAGGAACTGTGAGAAAGTAAGCCTCTGTTAGCAAAGCTATCCAGTCTATGGTATTTTGTTATGGTAGCCCCAGAAAACTAATGTACCAGTATTTTTTGTCAAAGAAATAGAGGGAACCAGAATGTGGGATTCACTGGGAATTTCACTCTCACTCATGGCTTCTACCCAGGCCACTAGTAATGAGAGAGAGAGAGAGAGAGAGAGAGAGAGAGAGAGAGAGAGAGTTTAAGAAAGGAATAAAGTGAGAGTCTTAAGGATACAAAGAAAACCTTAGGCTTGGAGAAAATAACTAAATATCCCAATTTTCATAACCAAGATAGGTAGATATCCTCTCTCTCTCTCTCTCTCTCTCTCTCTCTCTCTCTCTCCTTCCATTAACATGTCTATCACTATCCTTATTGTGATTGGCCTGCCTTTTCCAGAGTGAATAGGTGTGCTGATTACCTAAGAATACATCTGACTATAGAGCAGAGACACGAGTAGATGCACAGCATGAGTTTCTAACCGGAAAACATCTCCTTATGTTTAGATTATTTATTGGCCAAGCAGGACATGTAGCAAGAAATCAGCTATTCTCTGCTACTTGTGGTTTACCCACTCACATTACCTCATCACAGCAATGTCTCCGCTTCTGCCATCAGTCAATGGGCTGGGAGCAGAATCAAACCCTGACCTGGGCTGGACCGTTCTCCCGATCACAGCCATGCTCCCCCAGGAGCTGTGGGAGAACTGCTCCCGCCAGGAGGTCCACCAGACCTCATTCCTGCTCACTAATAACCTTTCCTCTTTCCTCGCTTTTGTTGGGATCTTAATGACCTCAACCCTTCACAGAGAGCTGCCTCTTTTTTTCTTCTCTCGCCATGAACACAAAATGGCAGGTAACCCAAAGAAATAAAAATAATTTAGGTGTCAAGTAAAATCTATCTACTAGGTGGTGTACACAAATATGTGTGTCCCATCCCCATGTGCACCAGATGGCACTACCAGGAAAGGGCAGGGATTTCCCCAGGGAAGATCACCTCCAGACTCTGCTACAAAAGCCTTTTTCCCCACACTCTGTGATTGATTTACTTTAAACGCTGCTTGAGATGTCTCTCTGAGAGGAGGGTGCTTTCCCAGACCCGTGGTTATTTGTCGGTGTGTCTGTGCCTGGGTGCCTATAGAACCAGCCTCTCGAAGGCATTCGCTGCTGCAGGCAGTCTAAGCACAAGCTTCAGATGGCAGAACCAGGGGCTGATTGCTGTCTAAAACCAGGAGGATGACTCAATGCACGTGGAATTTCTCCTCTTTTTTTGGTGAGGAAAAATAGGCAGAGGTTCAGTTGTTCATCTCCTATGGTCCCCATCCCCGAGCACTTTCCATTTCCTTTTTTTAAACTAAATAGTTTTAAAAATCGTGTGTGTGTGTGTGTGTGTGTGTGCGTGTGTTTGTATGTGTGTGTGTTTGAGTGTGTGTGTGTTTCTGTGAGTGTTTGTGTATGTGTGTGAATGTGTTTGTGTTTGTTTGTGTGTGTGTGTGTGTGTGTGTGTGTGTCTGTATGTGTGAGAGTATACATGCACCTCGGTTAATTTCTCACAAATGGTTACATCCATGGATATATTTTACTAAAGCCAGAGAAGCAATGCAAAGAATAAAAGAATCAGTTTCGTTCAGCAGTGGGTAGTGCTGTGTAGTGGGCCAGGGAGATCATTTGTAGCATTCTTCTAATCCTTCTGCTTCTTCCACTGGCTTAACTTCTACTACATCCTAATCAGGAAAAGATACCCGGTGAAACAAACCTTGAGCGTCCTATTGTGTAGTTTGCCAATTTTCATTTTGAAAAATCTTGCCTTTTTAAAGAGTTTATAGGTCCCAATAAATGAATGAATTTCTCCCCTTGACAGAATTTCTTTACATAAAATTCCACAAAGGGGCTCACCCTGCCACAGAAGCAAACCTGCACACACAGGGCCCACCCTAGAGATAGTCTTGTTATCTTGGAGAAATCAATTTAAAAGCAAATAAGCATTAGACAATAATTTCAATATTAACTTACTCTTCTTGCTTCTTCATCAGAGCAAGCTAAAAGGATGCGACCTCGCTGTCACCCTTCACCTAGGCTTCCTCTAGTTCTCTCCCCATGTGGTGCCCTCCGCACGGGTAAAGCGACCTCCTTTCCCCTACCAGCCTAGTTATTTATTGAATATGCTTGCATTCTGGAGCATTATCAGCTTAATGCATAATTCAAAATCTCTTGCATGTGGCCTGCACTTTTGCCTTATCCCCCGAATTCCGAAAGAAAGATAAGAGGAAGTATCTCCAAAGTGGCAAACATAAGGATTCCTGAACATTAACATTGCCCGCCCCCCTGCCAGCCCTCCCTCACCCCTCAGAAAACCGTGCACCTTGCAGTTCCCACACAGCCCACAAAGCTGCTGTACGGAGAGAAAACAATCCCAGAGATGATCCAAAAGTTTACCCTGAGAGGGACCCGAGAACCTTTGGGAAAAAGAGGTCTCTAAAAGTGGGAAAAATCGCAATGATTACCTTTGGAGTCACATTCTAGATGGGGAGCCCGATGTTTTCAGCCAAGCAATAGTTTCAAATCTCTGCAATTCAAAAAAAAAAAGAAAAACCAGATTTAGAATGTTTTGTGAGGGTTTTTGCCCCCTCTGGGGCAGGGGAAGCTGTGTGTCTGGTAAAAGGCCAGAATGAAAGGGAAGAGAGGGGCAGATAGAAAAGGCTTCTGAACGTGTTGGAGGGATGAAGGAAAGAGAAAGTCCCCCCCAAAAAGGGGTGGGAAGGACTAAAGGGAGAGAGATGGTGAAGGATTAGGATACGAATTGATTGGGGGACAGGATGGGGAGAGAAAGACAGACTTGGAGAAGAGAGGGCTTCAAGATCAACTGTATTAGAAGGTTAATTCAGTCAAAATCAATTCAGCAAAAGTGGCTCAAGTGATTTTTCCCCCCATACTGAATTGACTGGCTTCTGATTGAATTGATTACATTGACCAGTTATTTTTAATGATGTGTGGAAAGAGAAAATGGGTGGGTAAGCCCACCTGCAAATGCACAGATCCAGGTACCTGTATGCTCTGATTTGAACACACTAACAATCTGACAAGCATAAAAAATACAAACACATGTTTGTAGGCACATGCATGTGTATGTGGCAATGCTGAGTTCTGTCAAAAAATGACATCAATGTCGCCAGAACAATCACAAGCATACTATAGACATAAATACACACATATAATATATATCCTGAGTTTTGTTCTTTCAAGGTTCCAAATATTAATTGTCTTCTTGGAAAGCAGCTTATCCTTGATGGAGTTACTATGCTGTATAAAGGCACCAGCATCATTTATAGTAAGCACTGTTTTTTAAATTAGGGTTCACCTCCCCCTAATGCACTTCTGTCAAAGTCAGGACATGATACCAAAATCATAAGGTCACCAATAGCACTTGGACTTATTACTAAATATGGAATTCTAGTAGATGCTTTTTACATGCATTTTGAATCCACCAAGCAATAATTCCTCCTTTTTTGGTAAACATAAAGACATGAATTATTAAAAAATTAAAGACATTTAGAATAATGGTCCTCCATACGCAAAGTATTTATTTCAACTTTCATCATTCATAGTTTATTGCATTGATTTTTTTTTCATCAGTTTGCTTAGTATTAGGCTTCCACCAAACTCATCAATAAGAAATGAATTTTGTAACTTTCAAATCCACTATATTATTTTAGCTTTTATTTGCAGTGAATTTTTCTTCTCTCCATGGTATTACTGCAATAAGTCAGTCATTATTTCTTTATGTTTTCCCTTCTTTCTTTAGTATTTCATTTCCCTTTACAGCACATCTTGTGATCACAAAGAAAACAGAGACACTTATTTCTTCTAACAGTTGAAATTGCTGCCAGTGATTTAGCTGTCATTTAATTTGATTCCTCTCTTCTGTCTGTAGAGAAATATGTTTAATGTACTGGAAATTATGTTAATAAGAAAAAGCATTATCTCATTTAATGAAATAAATATACAAATATTTCAAAATAAAATAAAGAGGCAATCTTCACTGAGAAAAATGTCTCTTATGGTTTGCATAAAATAAACAAATGAGAAAACAAAATCATGACTACATTGAAACACTGACAAAAATTATGCCTGCATTCAAAAGGGGAGGGGAAGCTTGGTAACTGAATTACCCAACATTTAATCAAATAACTTTTTGAAATTTATGGGGCACATATTAAAGATTGCATTGTTAATCTTACATTTCCAATTACTTCAAGAAAAATCATTTTAAATTTATTTAGAATGGACAATGGCATGTTGAAAAGTTTTCTTTGTAATTTTTCTGTTCTATTTCAATTGGTCTTTCAATGATTGCTATGGCTTGAATGAATAATTATCAGCAAGCTCATTGAAAATATGAACCAACCCATGTAACTACAAGAAAGGTTAGAATTCCTTTGATTTTGCTAATCAAAACAGTCAATGAACTCATTCCAAAGCTTCTATATATTAAAATTTATCTAATGTACAAAAAGGTTAAATAAATATTGTTAGTGATTTGAGCAAAACTTGAAGCAATTATGTAATAAAAGCATGACCACAGTAACAGAAACACATAATTAGCAATTTAATTACTGGCATGAAGACAAGCTAAAGATGTCAATAAAAAAAATCTTTAGTGACAAGCCGATTTTATTCTCTTTATTGCAATTTATGAGAAATATTCACCACCTGATGAGTAAAACCACTTTTATACAAAATAGCTACCCTTCCAGAAACTGAAAAACCCAATTTGAAATATTTCTGACTTCATATCTTACATAGTGAATCATTATAGTTTCTCCCTGTTAGATTAGCACTTCCTCTTCTCTGGAAATACTGTATTTTGAGTCAGCAAGTAAAAACCATTATGTTTTTTAAAATGAGTTAAAGTAGCAGGTGTTCTTTGTTTCAATTTCATTCTTTTCCAGCTTCAATAATGTTTGACAGAAATGCTTCCCTATATATGATATTCCAAATTTCCTATCTTTTCTCATCTCCTAAATTTCAGCTCAGAAACACACCTAACCCATGGATTATTTTAAAAAGGAGATAAATGCCAACTCTAGCAGAAAGTTGGCTGTTTGGACATTCCTCCGGGTCTTTCACAATTACTTTTTCTCCCCATCTCTACATGTAGAATTATAGGTGGGAGGTAAAAGAGAGAAACAGGTAAGTTCAGTTTATTGTGATATGGTCCACTTGAATTTTTCATCAGAATCCCAAGTTTCAGATTTTTAAACAGTCCTGAACTACTTATGTTAAAGTGTTTGATGAATGCGTACCACCTTCTGTGTCACTGATATTTAACCAGCAGCAGAAAACAGATATGTCAAGATAGAACCATATTGAAAGAAGTTTTCCATCTTGTGATAAAAAGTGAATCATCCTGGCTGGTGTTCAATAGCCACTTGTACAAGCCCAATGCATGGAGTGAAATCATGAAAGCCAGACTTCATGCTAAGAAGTTAAGTCTATAAATAAAACTTGAAGCATGATGAAATACACTTAAAAATAAACTCCAGCCACTAGGGACATAATAAATAACTCCTAAGAACATTGCCTTTTATAATTAATCTACTGATTCTAATCATTTTGACATACAGTTCCAACCGGATATCCTAACTAAATAGTCACGTCTTCAGAGAAGGGTGTATAATACAAACTCAGTTTCTAAGGAAATTGAAAATGTTTGCCAAAGCATAGTTGACGTGACTACCACTTGATAAATGTGAAAAAGGCAAGTAATTGGGAGATGACTTTTTGGAACCTCGTGGCTAATATACTAAAATCATTCATTTCTTACATATATTTGGATTAGAGGTTGTTCACTTTCATATAAAGACCCCTTCCCCAGAAGTTTTTGATCACTGTTGGATGCCGTAGACCAGTGATGGCGAACCTATGATACGCGTGTCAGAGGTGACTCTCGAACTCATTTCTTTTGGTTGATTTTTCTTTATTAAATGGCATTTAAATATATACAATAAATATCAAAAATATACATCTTTGTTTTACTATGGTTGCAAATATTAAAAAATTTCTATATGTGACACGGCACCAGAGTTAAGTTAGGGTTTTTCAAAATGCTGACACGCCGAGCTCAAAAGGTTCACCATCACTGCCGTAGACCAATTCCAGCATGTCATAATTTCAAGAGTTTCATCAAAAGGTTGATGAGACTTGGAGACTCAACAGGGTTGAGTCACACATGTAGCCACCTGTTGGAAATGGCTAAAGGCATTTCCCGAAACCTGAATAGTAAACTGATTGTGGCTGCCAGACAGTTAAAGGGCATCTTAATCTACATGTTATTGCCTCCTACTGGCCAAACCCCTGAACAGCCATAGGCGATTCCCCAAACTGACAATGCTTCTGTACCCTTTGAAACCTTACCCTTTAAAGTGTATTATCTCCACCTTGCCTTAGGACAAATTGTGTTAATAAAAGCAAGGGTCCTAGACAAGGAGGGAGTCTTCAGTTCCTTTAGCTGAAGGTCCTCTGACCCCCAATGCCTTTCAAAATTATATCTCGTCTCCGGACTCTTGATTAGTCTCTGGATTTCTATGTCATCTGCGCACAGCCTTTTCCAGATTCTTGAACCCTTCTTGATGCTGGGACAAGAACCCCGGCAGTTTATTATATATCATGATTGGTGTCTAAGTTTCTGTTTCAGCCACAAACACAAATTTACTTGGATTTTTCAACTCTAATCATCTAGGCTTGAAATTATCTTTCCTTCTATACTTTCATGGTCCAGACACAAGTTGCCAAAAATAAGCATGTTAATTTATAAACCTACATAAAAAATCTCCCATATTACCACTGTAGAAGATGGTTAAGCAATGGTTAAGCAATGGTACCTGCCTTTAAGAAGCCCAAAGTCTAGTTAAGAAGATGGTGTGACCAAAGGTAATGACTGCCTTATAATTCAAGTGTAGTTATGATAAATACCAAGCAGATGACACAATAAGCAAAAGACGGTTCATAGAATAAAGGCAGCACAGTGTCCTTATGGGTAGGCGCCTTCATAAGTGGATACTATGGGGAGAAATTTTTAAAGCTTTCAAATGAAACATCTCATTTGACCTTATGAGCTAAACATAGTGAAGAAACAGAGATTCAAAAGGTTAAATAATTTACCAAACAAAGCATATTACAATGGGGGCACAATCATAGTTCTGTGAACTCTCAAGTTGAAGAAGAAGAAAGCATTTCAGATGAACAAATGACCAAGGAAGTATGTCAAGAAGAAAGGAAGGGAAGACATTCATAAAATGTGCAGGATGACTGAGATGTGATTTTGCTTTTCTGGGCTTTAATTGTTCAAAGCATGACATTTGTATAACTTATTGGGAAAAGTTTATAATTCAACCACTGTAGCTTACATAAAAAATACAATGAAAAAGGGGGGCGAAAAAGAAAGAAATACTCTCTTACAATAGTAACCCACCAGAAACTCTAACTTTTCCCAACCAAACCCCATCTGAACTTTGTAAATCATTAACTTTCATTATGCTCTCATTCAATGGAAAGTATCCCTGCTC